TCGATAAATATTTATGGCGTCATTGATATTTGGCTAATTCCGGTGGAACGAATGCTCAACACCATTTCCATATCTTCCGTTCATTCATAATCTTGCGAATTTTGACCTTTTGAAAAATTAACAATGATTAAAAATATGTGAAATCCAACAATGAAAAAACTAGCTCAATAAAGTTGATAAATATGTCACTTTATTATTTATTTTTGTTCACGCATTGAATATTCCAATATACTGTAAATTTTTCTTATGTTAATGATAATGATTAATTATAATTAAATCCGATAACCAATACTTTACATAAAGATTAATTAATTGAAAGTTGTTATTTGGTCAATCGGACCACGAAATGTTATGGATTTATTAAGTTAAATTAAGTATATCTTCATTAAAATTCTCTGTGGCCATTTCATTTGTCGCCGGGAATCGAATCCTGATTACACGACATTTGAAAAATGGCAAAATGGAGGGAAAATTCGAAAGGTGGGGTTGAGATGGGAAGTTAGTGTCCGAGTGGTCATGATAGCTCAAGTGGTAGAGCAGCGGCGAATTTAGCCGAAGGTCGTGTGTTCGAATCCCGCTCGCGACACTGACTTTTATCTCAACCAAAACCTTAATTAAAGATTAATTAATTGAACATAATTTTAATGTTAAATGAAACTTATGAGCCCGAGCCACATAATTTAAGGAAAAAGCCTATTTAATCGCACAAAACTTTATAATCGAGGTAAATGCAAGTGACGATTTTCCTACTGAACAAAACATTGCAATATTTCACATGAAAACATTGATTAGTGTTTTGCTATTGCGGACTAATATAACTGATTTATCAGGTGAAGAAAAATAAATGGAATGATGTACATTCCGAAAATCGTATTATTTTCTAAGATTACAATTTGCACGAGGAAAACTGCAATTTATCTATTTCAAAAATTTCATCCTGGTCAATGGGAGTTTTGTTTCTCTTTTCGAGAAAATAAGGTTTAACAGATCTACGGATTTCAGTGGTATTTACTATTTTTTACTTTAGCTGAATATTAATTAACTTCCGGCAAATAATTTTTCAATGATCCACCTGTTAAAGTGCGAAAAGTCAACTATTTTGCGATGAAGTATAATTTCGATTTACCAGATGCCCTTACGATAAGTAAATTGGACTAGAATTTCAGGTGTCGTGTTCCAACGCAACACGCAATTTTGAATTTCAAGTTGAGTGTCCGATCAAATAATTTATTAATTCTCATATTCATTCCAACACCCTAGACGTGGAACATGGTTTTTGGGTTTAAAAAAATTGCTTACTTTGTTTTATCAATTATTCTATATTGATTTTCCCAATAATTTTTCATTTTATTCAGTCAGCATTTTTTAAGATTATAGGTTTGTTGAGAGTGAGGGGCGGGCTCACGGTGAAACACTGTTTTTAAATGATAAATATCATTTTATTAATCAAGAGCGGCTGCCAATGGGTAGCTTTCTCTATAACGCCCTTAATGGCACAATCATAAATTGAAATCCAATCTCTGGTTGTATATAATACATGTACAGTTATAGATGAAAATAAATGAAGTTAAAAAAAAAAAAATGCAAATTGTGTTGGCTTTGGCTCATGGCTGACCCATTGTGAGTACGACCTATGCCCGGGTTTACTTCTTCGTCGTGTGCAACTACAAATCCTTATCTCGCTGAGCGTGTAATTGAAGGTTGCTGAAGCAATAATTATTGCTAGTGCAGTCGCTGAGGACTCGGATGGGGCGTGCCTGGGGAAACTTCGGCTTTTTACCCCTGCGTGCGGAGCCGCCCCCTTCGAGATAACGGGGCGATTACTCAGCACGACTTCCGAGCTTTGCGGGTGAATGGGTGGGTGCTCGAGTCAGAGGCGTTTAAAGCAAAATTCTATGAATTAAATAAAACTATTGTAATTTATGCTAAATTAATAATCTTTTTAAAAACAAGTACAAATTTGTTTTTTTTTCTTGCTTATTTTCTAAGTAATAACAAACATAGATGATGTCAGTATAATCATCCCTTTGATTATTGATGATTCTAGGACGAAGGCTATTAAAAGAAATGATGTACATATACCAAGATAGTCTAGCTTGCAACTTACGAACGTTTTTAAATAATTAAGTATTATAAAGGGTGTATCAACTTCTACAGTCCACCCATTTAATTCGGAAACGATTCTCTTTAGCAAAAAATGGTCTAATATAACTTTGTCATCTAGCAAGGAAATTACAATTGCTTTGTTATTTTAAATGAGAATTACATATTTTTATTTCACAATTCGATTCTATAGCTTATTTTCTACTACTTTTAATGATTTTTTAATGATTTTTGTAGCAGCAAGATGGCCCATCCCATTTAATTAAGAAACATATCTCTTTAGCAAAAATGGTTTTAATATAACTTTTTCATCTACCAAGGAAATGACAATTATTTTGTTATTGTAAATGAGAATTACATATTTTTATTTCACAATTCGATTCTAGAGCTTATTTTTTTACCACTTTTAATGATTTTTTAAATGTTTTTTTATGCATGCTTTTTGTAGCAACAAGATCCCATTTATTTAAAAAACGATTCACTTTAGCAAAAAATAGTTTTGTAGAAACCCCCAGTTAATTTTGGCTAGGAATCGCGTGGTGGTAACAAACTAAACATAACTTTGACATCTAGCTAGGAAATGACACTAAATTTGTTATTTTAAATTAGAATTCCATATTTTTATTGACAATTCGATTCTAGACCTTATTTTTTTTTACCACTTTTACTGATTTTTTGTTGTTGTTGGTAGGATCGACGATTTTTGAGTTATGCCCAACGGAAGACTAGGGAAGGGGGTATGCTTTTTGTATCAACAAAATGGCCTACCCCATTTATTTCGAAAACTTTATTAACTTTAGCAAAAAAAAAAAAATGGACTTGTACAAACCCCCAGTTAATTTTGGCTACGAATGGTGGTACCGATTTGGCATAGCGTTGACATCTAGCTAAGAAATGACACTAACTTTGTTATTTTAAGTAAATATCCCATATTTTGATTGCATAATTCAATTCTAGAGCTTATTTTGTACCAATTCTACTAAAAAGAAAATTTTGATAGGACCGATCATTTCTGAGTTATGCCCGACGGAAGACTGTGAGGGGGTTGCTTTTTGTAACAAGATTGCCCTATCCGTTTATTTCGAAAACGATTAGCATTAGCAAGTAAATTTAGGACAAGAATCGTCTCAGAATAGGTTAAGGATCATGACGTTGCTTTTATGATTAGCTAATATTAATTTTTGAAAAAAAATAACTCGAAGAACGAAGCGAGAAAACTTTGAAGAATAAAGAATAATGAAAGAATGCGCACCGATGTTAAATTACCGTCCGAGGCAAAACCCCTCGCACAATATTCCTCAAAAACATTTCCATCCCAAAGATTGACTGTGTGCATTTCCTTGGGTTCATTATTACCTCACGTTTAATTTGGAACCGATACACACAAATAAAAATGCCGGAATTGAGCAGACGTTTTAATCTATAAACTACTCGGAAGCAAATCTAACGTGTTCATCAAAAACAAACTGACTCTCTACAAAACACTACTGAAATCGATTTAGACCTGGACTGAAACCATGGTACTCCTCTAAACCTACCATTTTCCAAATAGTTCAATGCTTCCACCCTAAAGCACTCAGAATCAAATTCAACACTCCCTACTATGTCGTAATACCACGACATCGAGGGATGTCAATATACCCTTGATAAAAAAATTACCCCCACCAAATTTTCTAGGTTCGCTAAACTCTCCACTCACCTCAACCCATTAGCTCAATCCATGCTCGACACAATCCCGTCTGTTGACTAAAGCGGACATCGTCCTAGAACCTTCCCGCCAAGTACTAGCCCTTGACTAAATTTGGGAGAAGAACAAAGGTTGTTAACCTCATCTGCCCTCGAAACCGAAGAAGTCGTTATTGACCCTGGACCTCAAAAGAATTCAGTCTCTCGTGTCCAAAACCATTTAAACCTTTGACCAAGTTCCCTACTTCGAGTACAACCTTACTATCCACACAAACCTCCAAATTCCATCTGTCCTCGAAATCTCAAGAAGTCGTTAAAGACCCTGCACCTTCAAAAAATCCAGCCACCCCAATAAATAATCCAATAGTCAAGCTACTTGTAGTTCAATAGTGATGTGGTAGTATAATAATATTATGTGGTATTATTATCGAATAAATATTAAAAAATTCCATATTTTCGCAGTTTTCCGATAGCATTGCGTGTAATATGATTAACCCTTTTTTCAAACTCATAATTCGATGTAGCAATTTTTTCGACCCACCTCATGCTCTTAGTATCGTTTTGATACGTGTGAACCTATTTATCCAGTTTTCCATATTATATTTATAATCCATTAACACTAATTAATATTAATAACTTGATTTTATCAAAATGTGTTGTTTTATATTTATAGATTTTTTTTTAAATTATAGACCAGTGCAGTAATTTAATTTATGTATATTTTTCGCTGAATAAAAGCCAGTTGGCTTGTGAGTAATGGAGTGATTTATGACTTTTGATTAATTACGTCTTCCTATTCAGAACTGGGAGTCGGTCACTATAACTGCCAAATAATACATTCCTAGATTACATAAACACGACCTATATTTAAACCCTTTGACAAGTTAAAATTCCACTGACATAGAACGATAATTTAACCATTGTAAAATTGGTTGAGAAATATTTACAAGAAATCACTAGTTTTAGTGGTCCGCTTGATCAAATAATATATTTTAATAAATTAATCTGTATTTAAGGTATTGGTTGTGATAAAAAAAGTTACTGTCACAAGCGGAATTCGAACCCTCGACCTTCGGCTAAATACGCCACTGCTCTACCATTTGAGATATCGTGAGCTCAACCAATACCTTAAATACAGATTTGCAGGAATTTTATTTGTTTTATTGTATTTTTTGTTTTGTGTCATATAACGGATTAATGTTTTGTTTCAGGTCTGGGTTATTTGACAGATCTATTCGACCTGAAGAAGGCGAGAGCTTTCCAGGGAGCGACCCTCCACGGCACACAAACTGTAAGGCTTGCTTAATTTTGCTGAAGGTTTCTACAATAGTAAATAAAGCATCAAATGTCATAATAACCCAATTAACACACTAAATAATTTCAATTAATTAAGGTTTTAGAGATAAAAAGTCAGTGTCACAAGCGGGATTCGAACCCACGACCGTCGGCTAGATACGCCGCTGCTCTACCACTTGAGCTATCGTGATTTCGATCCCCTCGGACACTAACTTCCCATCTCAACCTTACCTTTTGAATTTTCCAACCTTTTAGATAGCTCAAGTGGTAGAGCAGCGACGTATTTAGCCGAAGGTCGTGGGTTCGAATCCCGCTTGTGACACTTACGTTTTATTTCCACCAAAACCTTAATTAATTGAAAACAATTTATTTGGTCAAGCGGACCACGAAACCTAATAAACACTAATTAATGTCGAGATAGTACGCCAATAAAATTTAATTAAAGATAAATATTTAGAATAAGGTATATTAACTTGATTTCCTTGCGTGTTGACCGTGCCGTTAATAACCCTTAACATCAGACTGAAGCGGGGTAAAGAAAACCACGATTGTATTAACAAGGAAAATTCGGTAATATAATGTAATGTGGTAATATAATGGTAATAACATACTACAAGATTGAGAAAAAATAGCAGTACAATATTGCTCGTAAATTCATCTTTTCTTGAGCAGAAGTATTGTTGTTCAGGTTCATTGACATTTTTCAACCCTTTGACAAGGTTTGGCACCCGGTATCCATAAAAATTGAAGGGCATCGTACACAGTACCTAGTCTTAATCCTAAAAATCATACCGTCTGACCGTAACTTTGGAGTTAGACAGTGCACAGCGGTATACTCTATTATATCCAAGCCACAAGGGTGCATTCTTGGACCTCTCCTTTTATAACATATGTATCTTCCTATCCATCCAGAAAGAATTCTCTCCACGTTTGCCGGACGATACAGAAATCCTTACTCCGCAGTAAAATCCAGTCACAGAATAAAAAACCATATACAGTGACTCGATATTTGATGCAAAAGGTGGATTTTTAGAATAAATAAAACTAAGAGCCAATATATTAACTTCACACCTAGACATATTACACTACTACCTGTATACTTTAATGGGTTTCACTACACCCCGTCGAACGCGTTACGTAGGACTTCACCTGGTTTTTAGACGACGTTTTTTCGTGTAAACTCTCCTATTTTTATCTTTCTCTTTATTAATTATTAATGATTAATTATTCATAAGACTGCGGATTTTTCTCCTAAGTGTGTCAGCTTGTCAAAAAAAGACTTCAAATCTCAGGAGAGAAAAATTTCCCAGGTAATTCCGCCGTGTTGACCCGCAAAAATTCGAAGCTGTTCCCCGTTTCCACAGTCATGTCCGGATTAGGCGCGCGCCGGGGGTTGACTAAGAGGAGGCATAAATCAAGAGATAGAGGTCGACTCTTCGAGATTAGACAAAGAGGATTCGGAGATAAGTGGATCCTAAGGGACGGGGGTGGGCCATGGCCCCCAGGCAGCTTAATCGTCTCATCCCGGACCCACATCAATTGATTGTAGCCGCCCCCGGCCCAAAACGTACCGATAACAAATATTAAATATGAGCTCAGCGTAAGACCATTTCAAGATCTCATGAGCACTGGTGGATTTCACGATTCATTCTTCCAGGCAGTTATCCTTTTTTACAGTAACAAAAATTATGGTTTTGAAATGAACAAAAAAAGAAAGAAAATAACCATTTATCAAAATCACAATTCCGAAATACGGTAAATAAATAAATTATATTTTAATGTTTATCTAAGCTTGTTTATAAATATTTGTTAAACACAAATTGATCACTTTTTCTTCGAATTTGAATAACCAAATTCACCTCATATTAAGACAATATTGAATAATAAATTGCCAAATCCAAACCAGCTTGGGGACTTACTTACCCTAGTTATCCTTTAGGGCAAGGTGTTCTTTATTATTAAATATATTACGGGAAATTTCCCAAATAGCACGAGTCTTACATAATAGTTAACTTAATAACATTTATATATGATAGTTTCAACTAGCAATAATCCCATCTTAGTAGAACTTCATTGATTACGATATTGCTACTGCGCAAGGTTCCCGATGGTGTCCGTTATGCAGAGAAAGGTTGCTCGATGTGTCCTTGGCTCCCTCCAGGGCACGAGTAGGCATGCTGCCAGATTTGATGAGAGTTCTCGGACACAGCAGCAAGTTTCAGGGTCCCTTATTTCACATTTGAAGGGAAATGGGAATTTTTTATTGTATATAGAAGTTAAGTGATGTGTTTTGCGTTTCTGTGTCTTGAATGAGTGAATGTATTTATTGGTGTGAATGGGGAGGGGCTGATGGCGAAGCGAAGTAGCTTCTCCATCGCCTCTCAGGTTGTGTGTTTGACCTGGACCGATGGCGCAAATTTGATAAAATACACCATCGACCCCCAATTTAGATTAGTTAATTATAGAGGACAGATAGATGGCGGAATATCGAGTACTCCATCTACCAAACAGAATGAATGTGATCAATGTATGTTGGTGTGAATGTATTTATTGGTGACGTACGATCTCCATCGCCCCTCATGTTGCGTGCGTGACTTGGGTGTACGGCGGAAAACTTTTAAAGTACATCATCGACCCCAAATTAGAGTAGTTTATGGTAATGAACAGGTAGATGGAGGAATATCGAGTACTCCATCTACCAAACAGCATGAGTGCGATCAATGTAGGTCAAGGTATGATTGTATTTATTGGTATGATTGTACATCGAGTGTATAGCGGTATTTTGCTAGTGCTTCGGGGCTGAAATGGCCTCTATCAAAAAAAAAAAAAAAAAAAAAGATTTATAAATGAGTAGTTAGAAATATCTATAAAATTTAGAAGTAGCAATAACATAAGCCAAGTCCAAGTTAAAAGTAAATCTGGTACATAACGCAATACAATAAAAAATAGAAATTTATTAGAAACCGCGCAAATTATATTTTGCCACAAATGACCACTTTATTCAATTTTTTCTTAAAGGTATCAAATTTACAGCTCAGAAATTATATTCTGACAAAATTATCATCAAAATCCCATAAATAAAAACGCACTGTCCTTAACGAGTTCGATGAAATTCAGAATAAAACATATTAACATTTCTATTCCTTCTACTAGAAACTAGGAAATTTTTTTTACTTAATAATGCCGGACAATACTAAATTTCATTTGTCAACTTCTATAAAAAGCATATACCAAGAGTCAAACTACGATTCTCGAGGCACATGAGCCTGCACTTCTGAGTCCAAATAATCTTTTCCTCCCATCTGAACCCCATTTTAAAAACCGTGTATTACACGAACCATTTTTGACCTTGTCCAATTTGATTGAATACGTCTGAAAATTCGAAGGAAACCATACTGAGAAGCACTAGTCAAAAATACTGCTAAAATACTAAAAACATTTAATTTTTATGGTTTTCAAATTTGTAAAGTCTGAGGTGTTCCTTTTAATAAAGACCAGAGGACTGCATGTAATCGGTGTGAAGAACATTACGTTAGATATGGGTGTCTCCTTGGAAAGAAGAACTCAGGGTGACGCTCAATGGATGTTGATGAGGTTCTTTAACTTAACAAGTTCGAAGTTCAAGTTACAGAGACATGCAGTCTTGAAAGATGTTATTCGCCATCGACGCGCCATGAAAAACGTGACAAAGAGCTTTAGTCTGGTACCGCATCTGGCAATCATAAACATGAAAAAAGGTGAAAGTTAAATTGAACTCTACTGCAAACAGACTTGATGCATTTTGGTCTGCGATTCAGTGAACTCACATTGATCAGACACAGGGGCACTTCCACGCGCGGGTTTTTGAGTTGTTCAAACGCGTTTCGGCATTGCGCCATCTTCAGTAGGAACTCTCCTGTGAGCGGGTACCTCCCTGATGATGGCACGACGCAGTAACGCTTTTCAATAACACAAAAAAGACAAACCCAGTAAGTGAGCCTGTGCCGGTTCAACATGACTACTGCAGACAGGAAAGAATCTTCTGTCCCAGGAAAATGATACTCTGATACATACTTTCGAGGAATCCTTTGAAAAATGATGGCCTTATATGAATCAGAATACGTACGTGTATGATATGTGATTTTCACGCTTATTATTTTTTAACCCCTTAAAATCTCTCTTATTTTTGGGGGAAGGAACTACTGCACTTCCTTCTCAATTGAGGTCTTTTCTTGAAATTTAGCTGGTATGCCTCACATCATATTTGGGATACAAGGCGCTTAACATACACTAACGATGGCGTCACAGAACAATATGTAGTACTATTCATTCTTTATTCCTTTCATATCTCCCACATTAGCAGAGTACATATGTGTATGAGCTATATTTTGGATGGGGACGGGTCAGAAATTCCAGGGGTGACGGTGGGAATCTATGAGGGGTCTAAGAGCCGAGAGTTTGGCACGCTAACCACTCGGTTACCTCTGTTGAAGAGCAAGAACTGAGTCTGTGCATTCAATTGGTTGAAAAAATTTAACTCTTGGTATCCACCCCTGGCATGAAAAAGAGCCATCGATATTCATAGGACTTTTACAGCCGCCTAATAAAATAAAATCCAGCTACAATACTCGAGTACTTGACAGGGGAACGGGAATGTTAGAGTGAATAGAATAGAAAATAATAGGACTTCTTTCAAGCTGTAGGATTTTCTGATTTGTCTTTGTTTATAAATGAGGTCCTCTATGAAAAACGTGCCTGTCAAAAAGTCCGATTTTCCCCCTTTTTGTGAACTTGGTTCTTCTTCCCGACCTAATTGAATCCCTGAGTTTCTTGGAGTTAGTGAATTGGCTTTTAATAAAGCCCGAGGGCAGAGTGAGGAATACGAGGACCAGCGGGATCGATTTTATGCAAATCCCGAAAACCGGGGACCTACCCTCCTTAAGTGTACTGTGCTGTTAATGAAAGGGTTGCGCTCCCGGGGGTTTACTGGTGGGGGAGAAGAAAAATTATTTGGCAACATCAAAGGGGTGGGCCGTCTACACGGACTTAACAACCGCAACTGCACGCGCAGCCTCAACCGGCACTTGACTAAATTAATTCGTCGACCCCCTGCAACCAACACAATTTCCCTGCGTACACATTGCTAATTTTCGTGATTCATCCATTTTAAACAGAAATAATTTAAGGCACAAATGAAGATTGAATAACAGAAATAATTACTCCAAAGGACAGACAAGGAAGGTTCAAGATATAGTCGACAAAACCAACCGATATGCGATTTCTGAATTAGTCGTCGGAGAAGGTGATTCGTAATCTGATCAATCAACATCCGTTTGTTTTTTATCCGAAAGGATCCAAGAAAGAAACAATTCGACCTGACAATCTGTCGTTAACGATTCGGCGATATATCGAACTGTGTCCAGACCCTGGGCTTTTTTTTCCGGCAAATCTTTTAACAAGATCGGCATAAGGTCGGGGGCGTAAGATATCATCGGGAAGCACGGTAACGGGTGCAATCTTGGAAATCGGGCACAACAGAGGACAAGGAAAGAAAATTACATCGTTTTATTTGGCGAGGCAAACGATGAAATTTGGCATTTTCCTGACTAATGGTGACTTTTTTCTCTTAGATTATGTGCCGATTCAAAAACAGGGTTGAATTTATAGAAAATTGGTACACTTGTCGAGGTTGATTATTTTGCCTCACTAAAAAAAGGTAATTTGATTTGCTTTTCTCCCATCAAAATTGTTTTTGAATCTCTAAATTTTACGAGTTGATTGACGGCTTAAAAAATATTGTTTCACACATTGGCTTCGATCCGAACGCAATTATAATTTTTGTCATACGCGATTTTGTGTTTGACAAGGTGACCCGTCTCTGGCTTAATGGCCTTCGGATTTTTCACATGAAAGCTTTTTGTTTTGTGCTGAACGAGCTAAAATTAAAAAAAAGTTTCTCTACCTTAATTACTCCTCTAGAAGATGATCTCTTGAGCGATGCTCTCTGTGTAACTCGTGGACAAGGGAAGACTCGATCCATTTTTTGGCTGAGTGTCCGGCTCTTTCAGATATGTTGTGATGATTTGTAGTGAAGTGTTATAAGATATATGTAATCGTATTAATGCATTTTGATCGTGCTATGTCTTTTTCTTCTTCTGTTTTAGTTGACTTTTGGATTGCATAGTCTACATCAGTAATTCATATAGCTGTTGGGAAATCTGTTTTGTTGTAAGAAATGGAATGTTTGGGACCAAGTGATAGGAAGTTTTAGATTTCTGGAGGAATGTTAATTTAGAAAAAACAATTGTTTGTGTTATCCGGTGTCTGTTTGGTGATTAAATTGTTAAGTTTTATGGTGTGGTTGTTTTTAATTTGATCAATGTGAAAATTATAAGCAATCTTTGATATTTGTAGATTTTTTAGGGTGTCTGTAAGTATTATGTTGGCGGCATTGAATTTTAATTGCTGTAATTTTTGTGTTAGTGTTTTAATGTTTTTAATGCTGGTAGTGATTTTTATGTTTAAAACGTTTCTTTTTTGTTCTTAAAAAACTGATAACTTTAAAATAGCTTTCAGAAACTATAAAACAATTCACGCACTTTTTTCTAAAATTAAAACTACAGATGGTCTTCCTAAGCTCACTATTTTGTCCTACCAGTCGTGTTTCTACTTGTTGTCATCTTCGTTAGTTTGTGGTTTGTGGATGCATTTTTTCAAGCGTGTCCTGTCTAAACGATACAAACATCACCACAGACAACTGACAACCTGAAATGACGTAATTTACAAAATCAATTGTTTAAATTGTTCGGCAACTTACATTGGAATTAAATCCCAATAACTGGATAAGATCTCAGCCGGGCACTAAGAACTTTTTTTGTTTTACTTTGTGTTATACTTCCTTAGGAAAATTTATTTTCTTTTTGTAAATAAAGTTCTTTTTTCATTCATTAAAAAAAGTTTAATTTACATTTATGTTTGTGTGTATGCTCAAATTTTAAAGCTAACTGTGAATAATATTATTTTAGTCTTAACTCAACTACTTTCTCAAGTGCATTACGAAAAAGTGATGAAGAAGTTTTGATGGCTGGGAGAAATTATCTTCCAACTTGCTGAGCGAAGTCCTC